TTCGCTTGGCGTTGTACCCAGTAAATGGAAGCTTGCCAATATCACTCCTGTTTTCAAGGCGGATGATCCAACACTCTCATCCAATTACCGACCGAGTTCTCTTCTTTGCGTGCTGTCTAAGGTTCTGGAACGATGCATCCACAATCATTTATATCAACACCTTGCACCGCTTATCTACGATAGGCAACACGGTTTCGTCAGGGGTAAATCGACAACAACACAACTGTTGGAGGTATACCAAGACATCATGGAATCTGTTGTTAGTGGTGAAGAAGTTGATGCCATATGCCTCGATCTGTCAAAAGCTTTTGAGAAAGTACCACATGATTTGCTCTTGCAGAAACTTGAGAATTCTGGGATCAGTGGGTCTCTCCTATCTTGGTATAAAAGCTACCTCAGTGATAGGCGACAACGAGTTGTTCTTCATGGTGTCTGTTCTGACTGGCTTCCGGTTACGTCTGGTGTGCCCATAGGCTCTATACTTGGTCCGCTACTGTTTCTTGTTTATTGCAACGACGTCCAAGATTACATTCAGGCTCATGAATAATCGCTCGCACTCTTCGCTGACGACTCCAAACTTTACACATCTCTTCATCTTCCTACTTCTTGTAGTTCTCTCCAAGACAACCTTAACAACCTTCTCAAATGGAGCGTTGATATGAAAATGAAATTCAACCAAAGAAATGTAAAGTCATGCACATCTCGAGAAAGAAATTACCGAACAAACACTAGTACAACCTCGATTGTCAGTCACTTGAACAAGTCACAAATATCAAGGACCTCGGTATCACTGCTTCCAGTAATCGTTCTTGGTCAAAGCACATCGAAGTCACTGCAGCGAAAGCTAACAAAACTCTTGGACTCATCAAAAGAATCTGCAGAGACATAAATGGCTGCGCCACAAGAAGACTACTGTACTGCTCTCTCGTTAGGCCTAAGTTGGAATACGCTAGTAATGTGTGGTCACCTAGCACTGTCAAACACCGGTCACTAATCGAAACTGAATATTCAGCGACAAGCGACTAAGTTTATCTTAAACTATCCCAAAATATGTCCTACCTTTTTATAAATAAACCTTTTTAAAAGCATGTCATTGTCATTGCAGACCAGAGGCAAAAAGCACAGCCACATACCAAATTTAAGCAATCGTGAGATCATATACATGGAAACAATATGGAAATTATGTTAAAAGCACCCCGTATAATGACGAAAGCACCGCGCATAATGCTCGAACCACTGCGTATAATGGCGAACGCACCGCGTATAATGGCGAAAGCACCACGTATAAGACGTATAATGCTCGAACCACTGTGTATAATAGCGAAAGCACCGCGTATAACGCTCGAACCACTGCGTATCGACAAAATGCCGTTTGATCACTTACGCCAGCTATGGCATTCCATAAAAGAAAACCAAAGATGAAAGATGATCCCTCACATTGCTTGTTTGCATTATGCCTGTTTATTAGGCAAGAATAGCCTGCCGGCCCGGAAGCAGTGCATTGTGGTAGGCCAAAATACGCCGAAACGATCGAGATTTCATTTGCATATATATATAATACATATACATAAAGATTAGGTTTGCTGCCTTGCTCGCTCGCTTCAGGCTGGCTCGCTGCGGCAGCAATTAAAATATGGCAATTATATTATAAACATGCAAGCTTTCGTTGGTTGGTATAGGGGTGCAACTGCCCGAAAATATATACGGAGAATTTCGACGTTTCGAGCGGAGGCCCTTCCTCTGCAGTAACTCCAGATTAAAGGCCTTCGCTCGAAACGTCGAAATTCTCCTTTTCTATTTTCAGGTAGTTGCATCCCTACCAACGAAGGCTTGTTCATTTTATTAATTGGCACTACCTGCACTGGCAAAAACAGTTCAAAATGATATTATAAGGCAGATGTTTCAACGATAGACAAATTATCGAATGCAATATCACCCCAACCTAATCAAGTCAAGAAAATCGAGTCAGAGGAAAGGCGTACTTTCATAGAGAAAAAAGCACGAACTCATACAGACAGTTTCCAACTCCTTGAAAGAACGGGCGACTAACCGCTACAGACCGCGGTATCGTATTCAATCACGCAATATTTTCCGGGCCAGCGTCCTTTGTCCTCTGCTCGTAGGGAAGGGAAACGAAAAGAAAACGCAGGCGACAACAAAGCCAATTATGCGAGATTTGGTTTTATTAATTGGCCCAGATGACGACGTGGTACCGCGGCAAGGAACTCGTCTCGCTCTAAATGAAAAGGGGCGTGCTATTTCTGGCTGCAGATTCACCAAAAGTCAGCCGATGATTGAGATTGATATGGTTCTCATTACCTATATCTAGACTTATCCTGCAATTCCACACCAATTCAATCCTGTTTCTCTCAACTGTTCGATTTGGACCTTGGTAATATTGTAAGGAGGTCTTCCTCCAACAACAGCAAAGTTTATATTTAGTAGGTCTATCCAATCAAAATGTCGCAGGAGAAATTTCACAATTTTTTAATTAATGAATTGGTGTTTCAGAGCGTTTTTGCAAGTATAAAAATTGGTATTAAGATTTTGAATAATGTTTTTCCTTTTTTCTAGATCTGACCCAGATTTTCACCAAGGGATATAAATAGTGCTTTACATGGAGATGGCGAGCACTGATAAAAGTGATAATCTCACATGTGAGATTATTTATGATATTAAATCTCACAATCATGCGAAAATTATCGCTTTTCAAATATCGCTTTTCTGCAAAAATTATCGCTTTTCAAAGACTGTCCTTTATATATTAAACAGAAAAATACATGGGTGCCTCTCTCCTCCGCAGAGGCTTTAATTGACTATGAAGGCGTGAAGGCGCGAAGCCTCTGCACGATGCCACACCCAATATGGCGGTAAACCGGGGGGGGGGGGCGTATAATTATCAAACGCAAAATTCAAGTCAAAATGACAGAGAAAATATCTCTTTACAATACTGCAACAAGCTGAGAAAGAGATTATTTACTAGCTCTACGAAATAAGAAAGTGTTATGTTCAGTTTGCGAGAAAACATCTGCATTTTTTCTAGACAAGGTCTCCATCTACAGTATAAAACAATGCATGGAAACAACGTATTTAGCGAACAGGTTTTG